TGAAATGTTGCATAGTCGAGAAGCATAATATGTTTGATCTCCTATCCTCTTGCTCCTAACAATATTCATGATACTCGCAAGGTGGATTTTGATAAAGTCAGAGGAATTCTCTGTTAACTCTTGTATAAAATGACAATCAGAAGAGGTGTTACATCATAACATAACAAACTTTTTGGAACTCCTGTAGTTCCAAGCAAGGTCATTGTTTTTTACTTGGTTGTTAAAAAAATTGCAATCTAAGATTATTTCAAGGAGACACACTTGTGTGTTTTTTGCTGCCGGGCCGCTGTAGAGTGTGCAGAGCATTTGATTCTTTGAGAAGCTTGTCTATTCCATGGGGAATTTTCTCATGTTTGGAGAGAGAGAAAATTATGTGGCTTACCATTTTCCCACTATATGCTGGTGCATCTTATTAGCAAGGAACAGAAGGATTTTTCCATCAAAGGATACAATACATGATGACGCTATTAATTCTACTATTCTCTTTATTATCAAGGAATGGTCATGTATATCACCTAGCAAACATGCTTGGAGACCGAACCAAGCTTTGTCCGAACACGTTTTGGCTCTGCAATCTGGCACGGGAATCGTACGTGAATGAAATAGGAGGTTCTCAGCAAAGCACTAGTTGATTAACACTGCAGTGACAAGTTCCTCGTATATTCTTGTCGGGTTTTTTTGTTTTGTATCTTCTAAACTTAGATCTTTCTGGTAATTAATTGAGCTTAGTTTTTTTTCTTATTTATAGGTGAAGGGCTGGCTTTGGTTCCTATGTGCATCTGTGCTTATGGTGAAATGTGAATAGAAACCCTAATTTTATTCATGAGATAAGATGGGCTTATATAGGCCCCTACAACTTACACATAAACCCCTAAACTTAATAATATTTCAACAGGGACTATTGCTGACGGCGTATCGCCGACGGGATGCCGTCAAGGATACTTATCGCCGACGGGATTTTAAGAATTCCTGACGGGAAAGCCCGTCAACGATACCCGGTTTTCCACTAGTGACTCCTCCTCAAGATGGGCGAAAGATATCCACTAAGCCCATCTTGTCACATCCTCTAATCATATCTACTGAGCTAAGTCCCTTAGTCAGACAATCTGCTGCCTGGTCTTTAGTTGAAACATGACTATCTACTGAGCTAAGTCCCTTAGTCAGACAATCTGCTGCCTGGTCTTTAGTTGAAACATGACTTAACTCTAGTAGTCCACTGTCCAACTTCTCTTTGATGAAGAACCAATCGATCTCGATGTGTTTGGTTCTATCATGCTGCACTGGGTTATTGGCGATACTAATGGCTGACTTGTTATCACACCACAGTTTCATCTTTGCTCCTTGATCCAGCTTCAGCTCCACCAGCATACTCTTCAACCACAACAACTCCGCAACTCCTAAGGCCATAGCTCTATACTCTGTTTTAGCCGTTGATCTCGCCACCACTGACTGCTTCTTGCTCTTCCACGAGACCAAGTTGCCTCCTATAAAGATGTAATATCCTGAAGTGGACCTCCTGCCATCAGTACAACTAGCCCAATCAGAGTCGCAGTAACCATCAATGCTCACATGTCCATTCTTTCTGAATATCAGCCCTTTTCTGGGGGCACTCTTCAAATATCTCAGAATCTGGTACACAACGTCCATATGACCCCTCCTTGGATCATGCATGTAGCGGCTCACCACGCTTACTGCAAAAGAGATATCGGGACGTGTGTGACTTAGATAGATCAACCTGCCCACCAGCCTTTGGTATCTGTCACGATCAACTGGTTCTCCAGCTTCAGCACCCAGCTTAATCTTCTGATCGATCGGTGTAGTTGCAGGTTTACACCCTAACATTCCTGTCTCTTTGAGAAGATCCAGTGCATACTTTCTCTGGGATAGGATAATCCCCTCCGCTCCTCGAGCTATCTCTATTCCAAGAAAGTATCGAAGCAAGCTAAGATCTTTCACCTTGAATTCCTTACCCAGTCTCACTTTGAGTTGGGCAATCTCCTTCTCATCATCCCATGTAATAATCATATCATCCACATATACCTCAAGCATGGTGATGTGACCTTCATTTCGTCGAAAGAACACAGTATGATCGGTGTTAATCTGCCGGTATCCCATGCCTATCATAGCCCACCTAAATCTGTCAAACCAAGCACGAGGAGATTGCTTCAGACCATATAGAGACTTCTTCAATCTGCAGACCTTGCCCACTGTCTGATCTGTATCGAATCCTGGTGGAATTTCCATGTATACTTCTTCCACCAGATCTCCATGAAGAAATGTATTCTTCACATCTAATTTGTGTAGCTTTCACCCACCATTTACTGCCAGAGAGATCAAAGTCCGAACAGTACTCATCTTCGCCACTGGTGCAAAAGTCTCATCATAGTCGATGCCATATGTCTGACTATATCCTTTTGCCACCAGACAAGCTTTGTAGCGCTCAACCTGTCCGTCTGGATTCTGCTTCACAGTGAAGACCCACTTGCATCCAACTGCTCTCTTCCCTTTTGGTAGTTTTACTAACTCCCAAGTGCGGTTCTTCTCAAGAGCCCCTAGCTCCTCATGCATAGCCGCTTTCCACTCTGGGTCCTTCTTAGCAACCTGCTAATTGTTAGGTACAGTAGCAGAGTCCAATGATGTAATGAATGCCCCATGTGCAGGGTGGATGTTAGAATATGATACAAATTGGGCAAGATCCCAACCATATCTATCAGGAGGATTTCCCGCATTACTACGAGTAGTCCTCCGTACTGATATTGGTGTGGGAAGAGTAGGGAGAGGAATGTTATTAGTAGGGAGAGGAATGTTATCACATTGGGATGAAACTGGTGGTGGTGTAGGTGTCTCAGGAGTCGGGGCAGGCGTTGGCAAGAGACTTGGCAGCACTAGTGGCACTGTAGGTACTGTTCCTGCAATTTGCTTTCCCTTCCTACTATAGGTTAATAGCTCCCCCTGAACCATGGGCCTAACACCTCTTGTCTTATTTTTCTTTTCTTCTTCATTCTCCTGCTCCTCCTCAACCAATTCTCCCTCCCAAGGAATCGATACAGACTTCATTCTCCTGCTCCTCCTCAACCAATTCTCCCTCCCAAGGAATCGATACAGAAATTGATTTCTTCACATTGTTCACCGATCTCTCACCATTCTCCTCCTCTCGCCTCATACTTCTAGTATTGGGCGAGTTACCAACAGATGAAGTTACCTTCCGGGTGTAATATACCTCGAGTTCTCGAAAGTGCACATCCATGCTCACAAACAACATTTTCTCCACCGGGTTCCAGCAAACATATCCCTTCTGAGTAGCAGAATATCCCACAAAGATGCACTTCACAGCTCTAGGGGCAAGCTTCCAGACAGATAGCCTATTGTCCTTCACAAAGCACACACAGCCAAACACTTTGAGTGGAAGGATCCCACTATTATCTCCCTTCAATATCTCACACGGAGACTTCCAATCCAATACTCTCGAGGGCATTCTGTTGATCAATGCTGCTGCGGTCAATACTGCTTGCCCCCATAATGTTTCTGGGACATTCATAGAGATCATGCTTCTAGCAACTTCTAAAAGATGTATGTTCTTCCTTTCCGCTACCCCATTCTGAGCTGGTGTGTATGGATAGGTTGTCTGGTGATGTATTCCCTGAGCTGACAAATATTCTTCAAACGCTCTGTTGGTATACTATGTCCCATTATCTGACCTCAATACCTTCACCACTGCTCTGTATTGAGTTTGAACATTCCTATGAAAGTTTTGGAAGCACCCAAACACTTCACTCCTATTCTTCATCTGGTATAACCAAGTAACACGAGAGAAACAATCAATAAATGTAACAAAATACTTGTATCCATTCATAGAACTTGTGGAACAAGGCCCCCAAACATCTGAATGTACCAAGTCAAATGCATGAGAACTTCTATGACCAGAACTAACATAAGAGCTTCTAGTAAGCTTTCCAAACTCACATGCATCACACACAAGTTCCTGTTTATTTGCTTTCTCAAATAAGGAAGGATACAATCTACCTAAAACACTAAAGGATGAGTGTCCCAAACGCTAGTGATGAGTGTCCCAAACGCTAGTGATGAAGCATTAACTTACTCTCAGCACTCATTTTAGATCCTACTCCTGCTTCCTCTACGACTGACACCAATGATGAATCAAGCCCTTCACGATTCAGATATCACAGTCCACTACGCCATGTGCCAGTCCCAAGTCTCTGTCCTGTCCCCTTCTCCTGGAAAATCACCTTGGGAATATTAAAAGAAACAATGCATTTTAGTTGGAGGATGATAGAACTAATGGATAAAAGATTGACTGGAAAGGAAGGAGCATGCAAAACATTGGACAAAGTTACAGAACCAGTACAATCGACTGTACCCTTACCAACCACCGGCTGAAATGTACCATCAGCTGTTTGAATACTATCAGGCGATGCTAAGTGAGTATATGATGAGAACTCACTAGCATTACCTGTTACATGTCGAGACGCACCGGAGTCGACTATCCATTCTGATGATCTGTCGGGAGACATAGAAGCAAGAGCATGTATGTCATCAGTACCTTTGGTCGGATGAGCATAGGTAACAGTGTTGCCTATGGCGAAAAACGAAGTGGATGCCTCCTCAGTCCCACTCCTTAAGTCTCCATCCCCTGCTACTTGCTGCTTCCTCCTGAGTATCGCCAGGAGAGCACGATCCTCCTCAGTAAAGACCACCTTAGCTTCTTCTTCCTCTGCTACCATCAGATTCGCCTGGTTCCCTGCTCCTCTTCCACCTCGTTGACCCCCACGGCCACGACCACGACCTCCGAACTGTCCACGTCCACCCGAATCTCCTTCCTTGGGTGGCTTGGTGCAAGCGTGCCTTAGATGACCCACCGCACCACAGTTGTAGCACTGTCTAGTCTCTCCCCTAGATCCAGTGTTGCTAGAGGCTGCCAGTGCTGACTTCACCACAGGAAGTCCACCTGTCCCCGCCTGGAGCCTAATACGAGTCTCCTCCTAGATCATAGCAGAGACAGCCTCCTCAAGCGTGGGAATCTTCGGATGAGCGATCAGCAATGCAATTCGCTGAGCGAACTCTGATGTCAATCCCTTGAGGAATACCATAGTCCTCTCTTGTAGGAAGGCCTCCTGCTCTTTACATCCCGGATCCTTACAGCTCGTCCGAGGTGAGAAGTGATCATAATCTAGCCATAAACGCTCCAGCTCTGTGGCATACTCCTGTACAGTCCGCTCTCCCTGGACTGTGGCGTCGATTTCTCCCTTAATCTGGAACACCCGCAGGTTATTCTCTACTCCATCATAGGTCCTCCTCAACTTCTCCCAGACGTCCTTCACCTTCTCAATGTCATCAACTGTGGCGGCGATCGACTGGACTAATGAGTTGAGGAGCCAGATATACACCAACATGTGAGTGGACTTCCACTCATCTCTTCCTTCCAAGTCCTCATCCGGCTCTGTCACCTCTCCTGTCAGATAACTCTCCAGGTTCCTCCCTGCAAGGGTGTATCTCACCCGCCGTGACCAGCTCAGGTACGTACTAGGTCCATCTGCAAGGGTGTATCTCACCCGCCGTGACCAGCTCAGGTACGTACTAGGTCCATCCAGCTTCAGATCGATAGTCGGAAGCTCTAACTTCTTTGATGGTTTTGTCGCGCTCTCACCAGCCGACAACTTCATTAGCTTTATCAAAGTTGACACCTCTGTAGGGTTCAACTTCTTGATGATCTTCTCCATCGAACAGGCTTCAGACCTAACACCTGGTCACCTACTCTTCCAACCCTTGTTGTGTGCATTAAAAATTTCGGCAGCACCTCTGCTGCACAACAAGAGTAGGATCGCAAACAAATTCTTGTTTCTCAGAGGAAACAAGAACCAAA